TTATAGCCTAAAATCTTTTGTCACTTATCTGAAAGATGGAATATCAATAAACTTAACAGACTCATTTTAACGAAAAATATATCTGCTTGAACAAGTAATAACAACGTATTTGATGTTTCTAAATAATTAGTTAGTTATTTTGAAGTAATTGAGTATGAATTTAAGAATAGATAAAATGTCTTGAATCTCTGCATAAATCGACCTAAAAAAAATATCATCAAGCTGAATATAATTACACTAAATACCGCTAGGCAATTGAAATATTTCTAATAAATTTCGAGCGGAACGGACTGGGAATTTGTGTCTGCAAGATAATTAAACGTAGAATTTACATGCAAACACCGTGCAGAGGTTAGAGGCGTGGGAAGTTATCACCAATTAATAACGAGAAGTTCCAATACGCGATTTATGTTCTCCTGTTTCGTCGTATCGAGAGCCATAGTTTTTCACCTCAAGGCGACGTCCGAAAACAGATTTTTTTTTTAATGATTTTTGGCCTCAAATTTTGGATCACTCATAAAAAAAAATGTGTAATCATATACAACCTGCGGATACGCAAAACATACGACCTCAAAATTTGGAATAATCGTCCTCTCACTTCTCAAGTTAGTGAATACCAGTAATGACAAATTATCGAAGAAAACACAAACACTGTTTTTTTTTAGAAAGCGAGTCTAATTGCATAATTGTTCATTTCATAAAATGTAAATATCGTGTTTACCTAATTGCAAAGTTGGTTTAACTTGTATTAATGATATATTCAGAAAAAGAATATTATATACAAGAATTTATAAATACATTAATGGAATAAATTACTGTAGGGCGACTAATAGCAGCAAGTTAAGTCGCCCTACCCATGAACAAACCTGCGCCGGTTCGAATCATGGTCAAGCAGGCCCTTTGTGAGCCCTCTCCGTGCTTGTAGCAATAGGGCCATCGTTCATCACAGATGAACAGTCATATAAACTTTCTTCAGCCAAGTCGATGGACAATGACAGTGTTAAGGATAGCAGCAGATTTACAGTCAAAGGAAATAGTGGAATTGCAGAGCAACAAATTAAAAAATCAAAACTATCCACCGGGAAAGATTACACATTTAATATCAACCGCGATCTTAAATTTACTCAATGTTCACATTGATGAACAGATTGTGAATAAAATTACACGACATAAAAATATCATATACTACATTTAAAGTAAAGTAGTAGTTATTAGGTCAATAGCCTTAATTATGGAATTAATTTGCGTTTATTATTAGGGAATTTCTTAATTTAGATCTACTACCATGTTAATTTTATTGATATGGGCTCGTTCAGCTCTTTCAGCCTTAATTAAGCAAATTTCTTCAAAACTGCTTCAGTTATAAACTTTTGAAAACTATTTGTGTAATATTGAAAGCTTCATATAAGTCAAAACTTATAAAAATAAAATAGTTGAAACTTTTAGTCATTTTGTGACATTGAAATTACAAATTATATAATAATTATATTTTTTTTAAATTATTTATTTAAATTTTTGGTTATACCTGATATATTTCAATTATTCAATCATGCCTAACAGACATTCATTATACTTATACTACAAAAATGTTTTCTTTTGCTTTCCAAGTAATATATCAAGTATATTGCATACTTGTCCTAGTGTTCAATAGGACAAGTATGCAATATCTACACAATACGCGATTTTACAAACTGAAATAATGAAGAAAGAAATCATTTGTAGTTACTTATGCAAGTAAACGACTAAAAGCCGAATGGTTAAGTCGCCCTACCAACGTACTAGTGGACACAGGTTCGAATCCTGGTCAAGCCAGGCCCCTTGTGAGCCCTCTCGCTGCTTGCAACAACAGGGTCATCGTTCATCACAGATGGACAGTGAAATGAATGAAGTTCAGCATATGAACTTTCTTCAGCCAAGTCGATGAGCAATGACAGTGTTAAGGATAGCAGCAGATTCACAGCCAAAGGAAATAGTGGAATCGCATAGTATCTATATACTACTGAAGTTAACCAGCAAATTAAAAAATCAAATCATCATAATGGTAACTATCCACCAGGAAAGATTATCCATTTAATGTCAACCGCGTTCACATTGATGAACAGATTATGAATAAAAATAAACGACAAAAGAATGAATTACTATAAAAATACACCTATCCTCCGATTTACAGGGTAGGTAGGTTGCTAAGAAAAACGTGTAAATCAAAATTGTCACTTTTTTAGTGTAAAACCGTGTAAAGTAAAATTGAACTGAGTAAAAACGAAAACGTGTAAAGAAAGTACCGGGTAAAACGAGGTATATATGTATTACTGTTTCCGCACTTGAAAGTAATCATCTACTAATTGTTATTAATATTTCATCAAAAATGTTCGACAAACTATTTTGAATATGCTAAATAGTGTAACTAAAAATAAAATGACTAATTTACATTTAGCAAAAATAAACAATCCAAAAAGCATTAGAATGAATGAGGATTTTGAAGAGAACTATTACTCTTGAATATTTTCCAGAAGCTTGACAAATTACTTTGTAATTTTAAAATAGATGGATAATTTTATACAAATTTACTGAAAATCAAAACAAAATATGCAGATAACAATAATATTAGAACTAAATTGCAATTACCAACAACCAAAAAAATTATATAATAGTAGCAACATTTAATCCATTGTTTGTGTTATATTACCATGATTAAATCCTGAAATGGCTCAAAACGAAACCTATAATTTAGGATCATCTCCTGCCCTCCAATTATTCTCAAGAACAATAGTATTGATCTGTAAATTAATTAAAAATTAATTTGATTAAACTCTACTAGATGCTAAAGAAATATTCATGATTTTTAATTTTAAAAAAATGCATATTGCAAATTAGGAGTGATGATAACAATTGATCTAACCTGCAAGTATCAAATACGTATTGATAAATTTAACATAAATGTTTAAAAAAAAAGCTAAAATACAATTTATTCTATAATTTATGTACATGATCATCAATGCATTTTGTTATAGCATTATGATAATATTATGTAAATAAACAATAAATAGTTATTGGGTTACCTACTCTTAATTGTACTCGTTTAACAACAATCATAATAACTGTGTAAACAAATGATGATTTCATCATATAGTTATAGTCGTAGTTTGAATGTTATAAATGGTCACTTGAAAAGCGGTTTTCCTAGAAGCCACGTATCCATAACTGGAATAATGAAATGATGTTAATATTAAAGTTGCGGTTCGATATTTTCTCGGCTTCGAACGTCTTCCGCAATTACGTGCATCTAGAATGAATGGTTAAACATTAATTCATTAAAAAAAATATAACGCTGCGCTAATATATATTAAAAGACTAATTAACTTAAGTGGCGATGGAAACATAAAAAAATTAATGAAATAACGAAAATTGTGTAGTGTTAATCTAAGCGAACTCGAATATTTGGATGAGTTAAACTTATAGGGAAAGATAATAATAATATGTGCATGTCCTTACCTATAGATAAAATGCGAAATCCGAGCGAAAATAAAGTCCCAGCTGTATGTTGATGAGGATGCACTTGCACACATTTATCGAATGACGACGACGGAAACAGAAGTTGAATTTTGCTTCTATAGTCACATCTCGACTTCAATCGTCTTTCACTTGTTAATTCTCTTATTTTCGGAAGACAATTCAACGTCACGACACGGGTTTTGTTTTGTTTTCTGAAGATAATTGTATCGGATTGAGCGAACCCAGTTGGATGCTTACGTAACAGTGCTAGAGAGAATGATCATTAGAGAAAGTAAATGAAACGAGGGTTGATTTCTATAAAAACAGTAACACGTTTTATTTATAATTTTATAAGCGTATTCATACTATGACTAGCTGTACATGTTTTATTTTTTTTTTAGTTTAGTTTACTTTTAATCAATATATATATAGTCAATTTTTTTCATATATATATATATAGAATATATATATATACTTTTATGTCATTATAAATATTTAGATTTATAGCGTTATTCAAATTTACAGTATTCACAATCTTGCGGAAAAGAAATTAATATTTATGTATATATAGACAGAGATAGAGAAGAAATACATCAAGAAAATCATAATAACAGGTAAAAATCGCCTAAATTACATAAATAAAGGCGAAATCGTAATACAACGGATCAAGAAACAAAGCGTTTTGTATTTTTTTTTTAAGTGTGGATTTGTTTGTAAATTAATTAAGTAACATTATATACAAATTCAACTTCTTTGGTCTAGCTATTTCAGCTATAATTCTTTTCACGGAAAATAATTAAATTAGAAGAAAAGAAATTAAGGAAAAATCAGATCTCCAGAAAAATATAAACAAATTGACAATTATATATATATAGATACGTTTTCTTTGTTAATCATTATTTTTGGTAGTCCAAAATTTTTCCGATTCCGATGATGAATGTTTTTTTGTTTTTGTTGGATGCTTCACTGCGGTGGTTTTCTCGCTCGCTCGAATTTTGGACTCCCAAAATCACAAATGCTTTGTTGTTTTACTCCCTACAAGACAATGTTTCAAAAATAAAAACGCAGGAAAAGAATAGTGCTGCAAAACAATCGAGATTTTGGATTATTAATAGTCGTCTGATTATTGTTTTTTTTTTTCTCTTATTCCTCTTTCAACCCACGTACTTTTTGACACATTCTCATATTAATATTTATCATTATAGTTCTGCTTGTTTCGTTCTATTACACAGTTTTCTCCTTCCCTAAACGAATTTTATAACTCGAAGCTTCCATTAATTATTGTCTTTACATGTGTATAATAGAATACTTTTAAAGTTTAGTAAATTAAAAAATATATAAGATACAACGCGAAATCAAAAGTGGAATGTTTAGTTTTCGTATTTATTTTGTGTTTTTTTTTTTTTGGAAATGATTATTTTTTTTTTGGCTGATATATATATTTACAACATATATTTGTTAACTATAGGTTTTCAGTTTAAATTCCCATTTGGTTTTCTTTTACAAGCTATAAGATTTTTTTTTTGTTTTAATTTAATGTGGAAACATTAAAGGATTTTCTTTGCTCCAAGCATACACGTTATTATAATAAATATTTTCTTTCCTTGATTATTATACTTATTTAGAGAGTTATTACAATACTTTTTCGTCTTTGACAATAATTTTACACCCACTAAAACAGTTCTCGCATCTCTTGCTTGCACGAAGTTACGAACACACGGAAGATATCCTCGCCGGTTCTTCGTCTCTCGGCGAATTTTTTGATAGCGGTTAAAGAAGAAACTTGGTATTTTCTTTGCTTTTGTAATTACTTCTACGTTTTGGCATTCAAAATCAAGGAGAGGTCTAGTAACTAGTGAAAGACAAATGGGAGTAAATGTAAGTTGCGTTGGCGCTCGGTTTTGTTGTTAATTATTAGGTAATCCAAAATATGGGGCATTAAATCCGAGAAAAACTTTATGCACACTGATAGTCTCGAGTCGCTTCCGGTGTTTTCCGTTTCCATGGTAATCCAGTTAGCGGTCGTTAGATTTGCGGGGTGGCGGAAAATCAACCAAACGGCGAGAAAATTAATAAAAAACGAAAGGAGAAGAACAAAACAAGATCGTAGGTCTGAGACAGAGCTGTAATGAGGATCACTACCACGCCCGGGGTGGTACGCATGCGCCGTCTTCCCGACGACCTCTTCTCCGAGGTGGTGGTGCTCGTAGTCGTCGAGGGAGAAGGCGATGTCCACCGACAGATCCATCCTCATAATCATCATCTTCATCATCATCACATTACACACTATTATCACAAGAGAATCATTACACATGATGCACATCACACCATCACTCTGATCACACGTTGTAGCACACCTGCTGGATCTGTGGAAAGGTAGATGCGATAGGTATCGCAGAGGTGACGTACGGGTGAAGTCTATGGGCGCGAAGATACTGTCGATACTTCCCGGTTAGGATATGCTTATCCTCCGGGCGATTCGACGAACGATCCGTATCGGCGGTCCAGTGACTGTGGGTATGGTGATGATGTCCGGCGGCTGCGGCGACCGCATTGACGGAGGTTTCAGCTGAGACGGACGCCACATTATAATACCGCTGGCACGTAGATATAGGCACTAGGGGCGGCATCGGCTCCCAAAGTTGTTGGCGAGCGGCAACAGCAGCCGCACTCTCCGCCGCCGCGTATTGTACAGGATATTGAGCGGCCTGCTGAGGCACCTGCTGCGGTATCTGCTGACCACGAGCAGAACGTCTCTTTGATCCAACCGCCGCCGTCACCGCCGAGCTGGACGTCGATAGAGCAACGGCAATGGAGGAAGAAGTCTGACGCGACGACATCGGCGTCGATGATGTGGTCGTCGTCTGCTGCTGCTGTTGCGACGGTTGTGGCAGGTTGTTCACAAAGGGACTCCTCCTTTGACTCTCGATCTTCCGGAAGTAGCAGGGGTGGATCATCAGCAGGGGTTCGTTTCGAACGCCGGCCGGAGGTTTAGCTTGATTCGGTAATTCGTATTCGACACTGCAGTCCACGTGCAGAGGTCTGGAGTAGTCCTTCGCGACGGTCCTCGTAGGTGGCTGAGGTGGCGGTGGCAACTGCTGGTCGTAACTAGGGTAGCACGTTGCCATGACTGGGCCGTTGTTATTGGTATTAATATTAAGGTCGTCGTCAGCTGTTACAACTGTGGACGACTGGATAATGTTGTTGTTATTGTTGCTGCAGTAGTTGTATTTGATGTTACTACTGTTATTGTAGTTGCTGGATATTGGTGCGGTGATGTTGTTCACTGACCGAACTGCGGCCCTCGACTGGCAACGCATAGAATCGGATGCGGCGCCGGCGAACGGAATCCAGTTGGCTGCCGTCTGGTGGGGGTAGGAAATCGATGCTCCCGACATTTTGACTCAACTGTCTGCGACCACGTCTATCCATCGACTACTACGACTACTCCAGTCAGCTGCGTCACCGTCGTACACTAATACATCAGCACGCAAACTCGCCTATACACTTGCATACACACTCATACACACACACCGCACGCACACTCTCTCAATAACTAAACGATATTACACTATTTAGAAAATCACCCCAAAAACAGAGGCTTGTCCCAATAAAAGTTATCAAAATTGTTACAGATCTTAGCCATTGATTTATGAATGAATATTAATACTTAAATTTTGAACTCTTTGAACGCTACCTTTATACTTCCGCCATAAGGAAGTTACTTCGAAGTTATTTCTGAAGATACAGTTCTATCGCTAATAAGTAATCAGAAACAACTATATACATCAAAAAAACATATAATTAAATGGAAATTATCACAAGAGGTTATTAATATTTCCACCTATTTTAATAATTCACATATTATATAAATGTTAGATCAACTGCTTCTTAATGTCCTTCTTTTTGCAACATTTGAATTAAATAGAAAACACAGTTTTTATCACAATCACAAAATCACAATCTGAAGACTAAAAACTGAGTTTTCTAATTAATTCAAATGTTGCGTTAATTTTGGGACACCCTTTATAATAATTGGTCAATATTTACTTTCATTTAGATTTCATACTTATTGACGAAAATTTTGAAAAATTTTCAACATTTTGAAAATATTTGTAATACTAGTCATAGCTGAGGTAACTCTATCCATACTTCCAGAACTAATAACGAATTATATCGTCGGGATTTCGAACGCGGATTTCGAACATAAGAACGCGGATGAGAATTGCCTGTACCAATTCATTATTCATCTTCCATCTCCTCTCGCTTCATTACGTACTATTCCATTGAACACTTACTGATTGTATATTCTATTTCCACCTATATAATTTACCCAAATTTGTTATTTTAATTTTTTATAAACTATATAATTCGTCATTTGTTCTTTGATTCGTTTATACCAATGAAAGTAGTTTTGTCACGTCCATCATTAAGCATATTTATGACTCAATAAATAATTTATCATATATATATATATATTCATGTTTATTACCATTTCAGATAACTAATTTCATTTTCAACATATAGTTTGTTTATAATTAAATCTTAATATTTACAGCATTAAACTCAATAAACATGATAACAATGATACTTTGTTGTGTAAAACTAGACTTGCGTTTAAAGTAATTTCATTGATATCAGAAAATGGTAAGATATAAATTAGTATACCAAATTTGAACTAAATGTAGCTCATGATACTGAAAATACATTTATATTATTGTTTCACATTTAACAATTAAATCAATATAGATATGAATGTGCTGAGAGGAGGTCAGCAGCATGGAATGGCAGTATTTATTTTCATTTTTGGCTCGCAGATGGCGGATGGCCGATAATCGGAAGCAATATGTAAATAAACAAGAGCGGCCGAACGTTTGTTTTCATTACGTTTTCCGCACTAAAACGCACGCATCCGAAACATAATACAGCTACATACAATGGTGATTCAATAGTGGCAATAATAATAATGAAAAATGGTACTCGAATTTCCAAAAAAAAATCAACGCGTTTTTTAAAAAATTGTTCATTACATTAGAAATGAATACATTTTCATTTTCCGAACAAAAGTAATTTTCTCGAAAATGGTCAAATATAACAAGAAATAGTAATAGAATTTTCATGAGGATATAAAAATATAAAATAATTATAATCACAAAAATGTTGTTATTTTTGATGTATTTAAGATTTACCATACTTTATAAAAATACAAATAAACCCCATAATCTTTATGGGGATAATAAGTTTTAAGGAAGGAAAAAACCATAAACAAAATTTACCTTTTCTAGTTCGCATACCTGAACATTTTCAAACAAAATTGTAATATAATATACGTTTTTCAACATCTGCAATAACATTGAGTATTAGAAAAAAAAATGCACATTTAATATTTGTATTGAATTCGTTATACATTGCTGCATTTCTACTAAATTAAACACCCGAAACTAATGAAAATATTAAAAATTTATTCGGAATAAACAAATATGTTTTGTAAATAAATAAATATGAGAAATTTGAATTTCAGTGAAATTATTAAAACATTCAAACATAAATAATAATAATATTTATTATTATGAATATACATAAATTATAATAAGTAAATGAAGATACAAATAATTTACCTGTTATTCCTTTCTGAAGACAATTCAATTATAATAATAGTATCAATTATATGAAGAAACAAATCAATTTTATTGTTTGCTAACTTCTCTGCACGTTCACGTTCATAGTTTATTAAATGATGGAGCTCTCATCTTACTTGTTTATATTTAAAACCATATCTAGAATTGCACTATCCACGATGATACACAAACTTAAAAATAAATTTTATCAAGTGCCTTGTATATTTCAGATCGGTGGCAATCGCAAGCCCGACAACCGAAATACCGTCAATCAAATTCCCGACTGTATCAAAATCCAAACAATCATAATACCGACTATATCAAAATCTCGACTATATTAAAATCCCGACAACCATAATCCCGACTGTATCAAAAACCCGACTATATTGAAAATGTCTACAATAACATTTTTAAATTATTTCGTAGCGTAGTGACTTTTAAATTGTTATTAATAATAAATAATAACAATTTATAATCTAATTGTATTTGAGATTATTTCATAATCTTAAGGTTTATTATGAATAATTCAACAAAATCAAATAAATTAATAATAATTTCTTGTTATTAATAATAAAAGTGTAGCACAAGGTGACTACGCTCCGACATAATTTAAAAATGTTATTGTAAATTTTTTTGATACAGACAAGATTATGTTTGTCGAAATTCTGATACAGTCGGGATTTCGAACGTCGGGATTTCAATAGACGGTCTTTCGGTTGTCAGGCTATAGACCTGTCACGCATAGTATGGATGCAGCAGCATTAAGTAAATTCAAATTAAATCGCTACTAAATCCAAAGGCGTTTCTGACTATTGATCGTAAAATCTTTATTCTAATTACCGTCGAATCTCTTATAACCTGCAGGAGAAGGTAGTTTCCACTTGCTACACAAAAATATAAATAGTACAGTAGTTAACATATTCTACGTAAGTCGAAATTGTCACGAGACGTTTCCACGTTTGTAACGGAATGGAACTTGGAACTAATTGCGTCAAGTAAATCGCGTTTCGTTTTTAATTTAGCGCTGCGCGTTTTGCGCCCGGACCCCGACGTGTAATGAGCGTTAAAAATTAATTTTCGTATATATTTTTGGGCGGCGGCAGAATTACATTTTTCATTTCTTTCATATTTATTTTTTTTTCTTTTTGTTAATTTCGTTCCTCCTCTCGTTCCGTTAATTACGCCGCTGAAAGAATGAGGGTGAGAGCGGGACACAAGTTTATATGTGCAAGAAAGAGATAGGAGTTGCAGCCCAACGGACGCCCGAAAATGTTTCCAAGATGATTAAGCAACTTTCAGAACTATTAATTGCCAAAAGCGAAGCGAGTTTGCTTAGCTGGAGAGAAATATATATATATATATATATATAGTATATACTATATAATCATATTGTCGGGAATTCCTCTTTTCCAACTGTAATTCCACATGCAGGAACCTTATTTTGAATACACACACACACACAGATGCGATGATGTCAGTCGAGGGGACCCTTGGGCGCGGACGTGGATGGCATCACAATTGGCAGAGGAAGACGTTATTTCTTCTTTTATGTCCTTGTTTCTTTTTGTTTGCTTTATTTTCGTGGGGATCTCGGATCAGTTGTTATTTAGATTGCAATTAAGTCGGACCCAGTTCTCTGACTATTTCTGGCCGTAGTCGCTCGTTGTTGTTCTCGTCTCGTGTGTTTCCTTTGCTTCCATGCTAGAATTTAGAGTGGCTCGGTTCGCCTTTCCAAGCCTAATTGTGATTTGTGGCGAGGCGAGGAAAGTTTTACGCCGCCATACATACATACTATACATACTACATGTACGGCCGAGAAATGCAGTTACGAAATTTAAAACGTCGTCCGAAGGAAAATAAGGAGGAATCACTTCAGACTTAACTTGTTTCGCGGCACTGCGATAAACCTTCAAGTCATCATTTTCAAATTTTGTTAATTACAATTACAATCAAACGTCCCAAGGTTGTTTTGGTTGTTATGAACGCCACATCAGTATCAAAGAATGAATTAAGTTTCATACGAATGTAATGATATTTCTCGACCTGACTCATAACAATTAGTAAAATGCCACCGCTATAAAGAATTACGTTATTGTTGTCGGTTTCTTTTCAAAGTGTTATTCCTATTCTACTTGTACTTAATATATTATTTTTCTATCAATCTAATTGCTATGTTTTTCAGTTCAGTTAATCTTTGCTATTAAGTCAAATGCAGCATCCGTATTATTTGTGATAATTATGTCTCATGTCACGCAAACTCTGGGTGCAGCTCTTTTTTTAAATAATTACGATCCTATTTCATGATAATCGACCCTTCATATATAGCCTTCATTCTAACTCCACTTACTGCTTTCTGTTTTGTTTAACTACATACCAAAGTCATTTATTTTATTTAATATAACTTGATTATAGTCTTTTTAAAAGTGATATGGTTTTATTTTATTCAAATTGTTGGAATATCAAAAAATAAATCTTGGGAAAGTTTGATTTAAACAGCCAAAGAGGGAATGAATGAATGAAGTTCGTTGCTGCTTAAGTGACCACAATCTTTATTATGTTATTATTAATCGGCGAATGTGAATTCCACGCCTCCGTTATGGAAGTTGATGATCCGATGAATATTTATGGACGTGCGCGCTCTGCGTGC